AAAAAATAAGGGTGGGCATTTATGCGATGTAATTTTTAAGACAAAGTGATACGCTTATAATCTTTTATGCCGAATACAAATTTGTGAAATAACGAATAAATTCATTAAAAAAAAATTTCTGTACGATAATTTGTTGAAGAGTTATAGCGATTTTAAATACTATAGGTTCCCGTGTCGCACCCTGTAATATAAAATAAACAACTTTCAAGGCTTCAAATTATTTGTTTTGACTTTTTTTTCATCATAATATAATATTCGTTCCTTTTTAGAGTTCTTAGAAAGATTTCCGATCCATTTAAGGGTCACAGTACCATAAATATTCGTTTCGAATTACACATGAAGCGCATAGACTGTATAAACGCATCAGATGTACCAACTGCCTTCAAGTTACAAGAGAAGCAGTCAATGCGCTGGGAGGAGTGCTAAGAATTCAGTACGGTTAGTACAATCTAGGAAATTCGTAGCACTTTCGAAGCAATTGCTAATTCGGAATGAAATTTCTGTGCAGTCTACGCACTCCATGCATAACTCGGAACGCACCCTCTGTATGACAATCCATAGTCGACAATTACAATAAGTCAGCCTCAACATTTTTAGGCCGGTATTTATAATTTGTTCTTATTTCAAGACCTTAAGTACCCAGATAGAGTAAAGCGTGTCTCAGCAAAATCGCACAAATCTGTGATTGCTTATAATGCTGGCAACCGGCCATAGATTTATCTTCAACGATTTTGAATATGCTGACATTGTAGCAACATGCAGGTAACAATGTGTATATATATTGCCAGCAGTTTAACAAGATAGTTGCTTCAGTGTTATCTTGTGTTGTCGACAATATGACAGCATTGTATGACGCTGCATATTATCATGGCAACATGATGGCAGTAGAATTTCGATGATGACGATTTTAAAGTTGTTGGCAAACTGCTGGCAAGTTGCTACTCAAAGTTATCGTATCGTGAAGGCATCAAGTTGCCAACAAATGAGGACTCAGTTGCTTTGCAATTCTGGTAGCAACACATGCTTAGCAAGCAACATGTCAGCAACAAGACAAACACATTGCTATCTGAGTAATGTCTTAAGATATTAATACGGCCCTCTGATTGATCGTAACAATAAAATCAGTTTTAAATATAAGAATCAATTATGAATACCTGCGTTAAGGCCGGTTTCACCAACGCTGAAATAGTCTGATCGGCTGATTAACTTCGTCATCAGAATTGCCAACGGCGAGATTAAAAAAATCCCTGTCTTAATTTTTAATCTATTCATGATAAGGAAAAAATGTATCGTGGATAATAATTTAATAAATTAGATTTTGAAATACATTTTGAGTATTATTAAAGAACTGGAAAGGATACGGACAGTAGGAGTCAAGCGCAGAAGACGTCGCGCAAATACAATAATATATCTATGAAGTGTGAAACTTTTTTATTCACTAAAACGCGCTACTGCCTGTATTCTTTCTAGATCTTCGATTTATAAGGAGTCTTAGTTAGTTTGATTTGTTATACGGATTTATTTTGAGTATTTTTAAAAATACAATATTTTCTAACAGATTTGTTGTCAAGAAATTAGATTTAGAGATGATAAGTTTTCTCTTTAGAGATGATAAGTTTTCAGTTTAGCAATTGACAACTTTAAAATTTAATTGGCCGATTAAATAATTGGCGTGGATGAAACCGGCTTAATGCAAGAAAGTATTATCCAAAAAGTAAATATAAAATGTACCTAAATATAGTTACACAAGAAATGATATCTAGGTATCAGAAAGAAAATGTACAGTTCTAGGTACGAAAATGTGTAGTTACAATACCTAGACATAGTATAGCCTAGTAACCCAGTAGCGATACTGAATGTCGGTATCTTTGATGTAAGTATTCTAGGTCACATGATTCGCCGATATGTTATGAAGTGTACACAGTAGAGCTATGGTAGGACAGGCTCTTAAATTTGAATTTTTGTTAAGCTTCTAATACGTCACATTCCTAAGTCTATAAACCGACACATACGCGCTAAAAATTGCAGATTACTAAAAAAATTCAGTGTTGCTACTGGGTATGGTTATAGTGTGATCTAGGTACTGCATAATACTTTTCATATGCCACCTTTAAGCCTTAGAATATCATATATACGAGATCTGGCTATTAAATAACGAGACTGCTTATGAAAAAGAGTTTTATTTTAAAAATTATTCTACAATTGAATGCTCCCCTTCAATGTACTCCCCTCCCCTCGCCACACACCATTCCATTCGTTTTTTCCATTGGTCAAAGCAATGCTGGAAGTCTTCTTTTGTAAAAGCATTTAGGAGCTCCGCCGATTTTCGCTTCACCTTTTCCATCGACTCGAACCGGGTTCCTTTTAAGGCAGACTTGATCTTCGGACACTTCTTCATCGCAAGTGATGATGTTTTCCATCAATTCGGGCTCTTCATCTAACCTCTCAAGAAAATCTGAGCAGATCTGTTGACGGACGAGCTTTTGGTCAGGGGTCAAATTTTTTGGGACCAACTTCGCACAGACTTTCTTCATGTTTAATTCGTCATGTAAAATTTTTCTGACAGTTTCTTTATCGGCGTTTACAGTCTCAGCAATCATCCGAATGCTCATACGACGATCTCCGCGCACAATTTCATTGATTTTGGTCACTGTTTGCGGAGTTGAAACAGAGACAGGTCGACCTGGACGTTGGTCATCTTCGGTGCTCTCTCGGCCTTCAGAAAACCGTTTATACCATTCGAAAACACGCGCACGAGATAGAGAATTCTCACCATAGGCCTCTTTCAACAACTTATAGCACTCAGTCGGAGTTTTTTTTAATTTAACGAGAAATTTCACATTGATCCGTTGCTCGTGTTTTTCGTCACACATTGTTATCGGCACGAGAAAAAAACAAGTTCGTTTCTAACCTCTATAGAAAAAATACTACTACTGCGACAAAAACGTGTTTTCGTACTGGAATAGTAGACACTTCCAGCTATCCAACGCTGCATTCGTTTCCCACCCTACCCCTCTAGGACGCCTTCTGCGCGCGCAGTCTCGTTATTTAATAGCCAGACCTCGTATTATTGTTTATCGTATTCTTTTTGTTGAACTTGAAATGTTTTGTAAGATTAGTCTCAAGTGAATGTGTATAACATTTGTTTTGATACTACGAAGAACAATTCTTTTGCGCAATAGATGGTCTGAACAAAAACATCATTGAACACTGCAAGTGTGACACGCGTGCAGCCGTTTTCTAAGTCTGCTATCCTCAACGTCATTATTTCGATATTATTTACACTTATTTCGCAAGTGACAGATTTGAAACTTGGATTTGCTATTTCGATAGCAAGGGATTTCTACGTTACTTTTAACCCGAGAGTGGTCGCGCTATGATCATTTTGTCGTACTCTTCCGTTTTCTATTTATATCTTTCAATCTATTATATTTTTACCTTTACGTAAATGTTTGTTAATGATTTTTCATATAGTATGCGAAAATTGATGACGTAAACACGCTTACATCTAAAATTTGATATGTTTGTAACGGTCGGTCTAAAGACTATAACGCGCGCACTTACATTAGTCTCCTTTTTCTTCTTTTATTGGCTCTTGTAGCCAACCCGACCGCGTTCTGAGTATCGATCATATAATTTTCCCCTAGGACGGAAAAAGTAAAAACTTTCACGTGAACTGGGCGATTATGTAACTTTCAAACTGCGAAAACGTGAAATTATTTGCATGAATTTGTTAGCCATGAAATTTGTGAGCGGAAAGATGGAAATATAGGAAAATACGATGCAGTGATCCAGTAATATCTATATTGTCTTTTATATATATGCGTGCGTACGGCGCGCGCGCGCGTGTGTGTGTTATATGAATTTTAATAAGTGTGAGCAGCATTTGATATTAGAAAATAAAAACAATATTAAAATTCTAAAGATCTAGCGCAGAGTGTAATAATTAATACTTACTATTTTGATTTACTATATAAACATGGTTTTGTCTTATTCAAACTCTTAAATCAAACATTTTCAGGTTATGAATACATATAATATTTATATATTATATATAAAGGCAAATGTTTTAAAATATATTATTACTTAGTTTATTAGCGATTATTTTATATCATTTAATACGTGTACAAAATATTATCTAAATTCTGGTAATTGTGTGTGTAAACATAATGTATCGTAAAAATTAAATACACCTTTATTTATTTGTGATATGTTTAGTGATTTTACTTTTCACAAATCCTTCGTACATGCTCGGAAAAGTTCACGTGGAATCTGAATGAGCGAAATTATGAAAAGTGAAACTTTCCGCTTGAAATTACATATCGCTGCCCTGGCCATAAACTAGTTCGAAAATGCAGGTAACAAATAAAAAAAAAAGGAAACAATCACGAAAAAGCTCGGCAGCTTGACAAAAATTGGGGATGATGCTATACCAAGACGGAATACGTTCGTCCCGGTTCGCAATAGTACGTAAACTCATTTACGTTAATTAATGTTTTTAGTTTTATTTTCTTATTAATTATTACTTATAATTATATATGTATTCTAGTTATAACACATATATGTGCGAAAATATATTTTGGTCAAAATGACGCGCCTACTGCCGAGTTAAGAAAACATTTGATACATTTAGCATACCGAAGAATAAAGAAATCTTACGTATACTATTTGATAGATTTGTTGATGTTTTATGTATTTTAGTATTGAAATTGATTATTTTAATGTAGATGTTGAAATGTGGCGAATACTTTTATTGCCCGCCCAGTTAAACTAATATTAAGTTAGCCCTCCCCACCAGCGATAAATGAATTCTATTACATATATTAAAATTAGGTGCTAATTAGGTGCTCGAACCGTTTGACAGAAAAAAAATTATGGGGGGGGGGTGGGAAGACTAGCTTAATATTAAGTTAGCCCCTCCTTCCAATAAAAAAAAATAAATATTTATTGCGTAAACAAACAAAACAAATACACCAGAATTAAGTGCTAATTAGGTGCTTCAAGGAATGATGGAAATAATTCGAAAATATATATCATATATTGAATTATATATAGAACTTAGGCGTCAGTCGAACAATCAGCTCACAAAAGAGAAGTTGTCTTAAAAAATTAGATGCTCAGACAAATTTGGTATTAAAATTTGTCCGACTGACGGCTAAAACTTAAAAAAAAAAATTGTTCAGAATCATGTCTTAGATAACATTTGTCAAGATCAAAGTCATTGGAAGTTGTACCTCTTATATTCATTTTTACGTAAAAATGAATTCATAGTGCAAAAAAGCACGCATGCGAGCGATATGAGTGCCAAATGAGAATGCATCTGATTGCGTTATGAGTGTCACACGTATGCGAGTACTCGCACGTGTGCGAGTGCAATCATTGTGCGGGCATTTTGTTATCTTGAGTTGTTGTGACTTTATTGACTCTGTGAGGTGAGCACAATTTTGGTTTCTATTCTCTATCTTATTCATTCTCTATCTTCACATTCTTTAACGATTTTTTTTTTAATTTTAGCCTGAGTTTTTATCGCCACTCAGCTTAATAACTGTGTTGGACAACTTGCTATCATGAATGTCACAATAGTCGCATACAAAAAGTGAGAGAAAATTTTGAAAACACTGACTATGATTTATTAATTGCTATAATTATTAAGGTTATAACATTGAAGATGACTTAAACAAGAGTCAAAACATATGAAATCATATGGTCCTGCTAATTAAATGTATATCTCGAAATCATTAACAACCAGAGGTTGTTGCCTTTTGTACGAATATTTTTATTGTATGAGTATATTTTATTTATTTACAATGTTTTTAAGAATAAAATTGCAAAACTTGGATCTTTAAGATTTTGTAGCTTCGTAAAATATAAGCCAAAACGAGTTTTATTGCAAAATATTTCTACAAGACAATATAATGGTAGTTTGATAGAGTGCACTGCACCACGAATGAGGTGTAAATGAGTTGGCTTGTCATTCTTGTCGACCTTTAAAAGTTAATTGCTTGACATAGCATGTGGAAAAGATTCCTGTGATAATATTGGTGGAAATTTAAAACAACTAGCAAGAAAAGCTAGTTTGCAGGGAAGTGTTATACTTAATACCAAAGCATTTTACATATGGGTAAAAAATAATTTAAAAGGGACATCAATTTTATTTAGTCTAAAAACAATTCACAATAAATTAAATAAATTTTTGATTTCGCATTAAAGAAAAAATTATTTCGGGTACATTAAAATATTATGTGATTATTCCTGCGAAAGATCAATTTATTTTAAAAGAATTAAGTTAAGTAATGATGAGGAACGAGATCTTTTTCTAAAGGAAAAGAAGAAATAAATAAATGGGTCTAAAAAACATAAAACGCTAAGACTTCAGAATTATTTTTTATTTCATAATTATATATTAATAATGTATTGTGTAGTATTGAGTAAGTAGTTATATAAATGTATTATGTATACATTAAGTAATTAGATTAATTAATTTTGGCGGAAATTTAAATTCTGTTTAGGAAAAAGATTCATTTATTAGTGGATTGCATTGCGATCTAAAAATTTTCTTTACGGCATCGCATTCTACATATTGGAATATTTTGAGAATTTTTTTAGATTTTTAAAAATAGATATTAATTTTTTATTTCTTTTTTACTCATAAAGTGAAAAAATTGATTTTTTCCGTACTATTTATTTGTTCTCTTTTTTATCTGAATATAGTACGCAAAAAAATTCTAAAAAATTTGTATATATGAAAATTTTATGTATGTATTTTGTAATTTTAACTTAAGCAAATGGCAACAAAAAGAGAACTCCTTTAAACGATTATCTTTAATATCTAGGATGCAAGACATATAATACTTATTATTTTATCTTTGACATTATACAATATGTCCACTTACATGTTTTCATGATTATTTTAAAGATCTCAAACAGTTTATTTTTAGATGGACTTCTTTCACGTGGAATGCTCCTTATATAGTGTTCTTATAGGTTCATGTTTGCCTTTTATAATCTATAGAAATCAATCCCTTTAAACAGTCTAGCTGGGGATCTTAAATGCTTGTATAATTCTGTGTGAATTTATATATTATGTATGTAGTCCTTTAAAATGCGCGCGGAAATATTTTTTCGGTCTTGAAAACGCAAACTCTACTAAACTGCCACAGTAACATCACGAGTTAAATAATAATAGACTAACAATTTTTAACAATTTGATGTTTTTCTGTATCTTAGAACGATCTTAATAATGCTGAGTGACATATTAAAATCTGTAAATAATTAATTCTTATTGCGAAAAATATTATCTCAGTCGGAAGTTGAACCTGGATCTCTTGCATTCCGTGCGAGCGTTCTAAACCTTTTTAGACTATCGAGGTCTTAATAATATTCTTCACAATAATTGGCATAGATAGAAATAACGTTTATTTAGTCGACATAAATAAACAATATTAAATTTTATAGAACCGTATCTGTGAAGAACAGAACCTATAGAAATCAATATCTTTAAACAGTCTAGCTGGATCTTAAGTGCTTGTATAATTCTGTGAATTTATATATTACGTATGTACTATTTATGTACTACGTACGTAGTATATAAATTCACACAGAATATTATACAAGCACTTAAGATCCAGCTACACTGTTTAAAGACGTTGATTTCTATAGATTGTGTTTCTCACAAATACGATTCTATAAGATTGCTTGTTACTTATAATTGCAGATTTAGTTCTATAGGATTTAAAATCAGATTTGATAAATAAACTTCCTTTTTCTGTTGATTTTACTACAGATATGTTGAAAATATATTAATTTTGACTCAGTTTTTACACACACATATATACCATTCTGAATGTTTTCAATAAATACCATCCTGGACTGAAAGTTCATGACGGAATTAGGTGTTATTCTTATAAAGAAAGATCATTATTTAATCTGCGAATTATATTGTACATCACTTCTATAACGTACTTGAATTATTTTTTTGTTATTCTATGTGTTAAAAAGTGGATACAATTATTAATTTAATTGATAGAATCCACAGTGGGATCGATTGTCGAAAAAGTGGCCAAAAGTCAAACATATAGTACATTATTACAAAAAGCTGTATTCCTAAATTTTTTGGCTCGCTGAACACGATTCTAATATCAGGAATAAAAATTTTTTGATGGCGAATCTAGTATGGCGGATTTCAATGTAAAAATTTTAATTTTGTTTAAAGTGACATAACATGGCACAAGACGCTATAAGACGCTACGGTAATGTTTGTGTGCGTGCGATGCGCGATAGCCCTAGAGACGTCTAATATAATATGCGATACTGCCATGAGATGACTGAATATTCCAAAAAGAAATGTTCACAGCTCCCTGTAAAAAGGCGTATTCAAATGAGATCTCATGTCTCTTTGTTTTTTTTAAGTGTGCTCTTTTATACAGATTTGGAAAAGTATCATATATGTATATTTAAAATTACAATAAAATATCCGTTATAATTAATCTAAATATATCTACTATTTCGCATATCTTTGTAACAATCTGACTTTCGCACTCGGAATAATTTGTCGGAATTAATATTGCGGAATGCAAAAGAGATTCTGGCGGGGAGATGAGATGCAAAAGCAGAAATCGATATATTTAATGCTGAAATGTAGATAACGTATATTACGAGTATATTTGATGTACAATTGTGTATGTGTGACAGCTCGCTATCTTCGCGGAATTTACGGAGCCGCCTAGAAAAACAGTATCGTATTACAATGGAATGTTTGTGTGTCGTGTCGGTGTGATGGTGCTCGGCGTATACGCACGTGTGCGTATAACGAGATCTGGCTCGGTTTCGTCGCTGTCGGCTGCTGCCGATCGCGCGCGAATCGCGAGACGCGTGCCAGGCATGCCGATGGTCCGTACAGTACGCGCCAGCCAATCGCGGTCGCGTTCGCGGTTTGCGTCACGTGGATTTTCCCCAATGCAACGGAAAAAACTAAGGATGCGTTTTGGGCATCCGAGAATACTCGGCGGAAGTAGAGAAAACTTCATCCCGTTACTATTGTCGAGACCCACTGGTTTTGCGGCGCCGGCGGTTGAGAACTCTCGATACAGGCAGAGGACACTCTACCTTTGGAATCATGCTGGTACGTGCAGAGGAAATGGCGGCAAACGAACCGATGGAACGCTCAGCGTGGCAGAGAACGCTCCGACACGGAAAATTCCCGGTGCAGTCACACTGGCGTTAGTTGGTCGGTGGCTGAAAACGCTCGGCGAGTCAGAGTACATTCTTCAGATTGTTCCCATCGATGCAGTGGATTTGAAATATGCCGGTCGGTTGCTGTCGAGAACTCTCGACAGTGGCAGAGCACTCTGTATCACTTTTTCGCACTTGCGGCCGGAGGATATGGATCTGGAGAAGTATCAGGATCGGAGCAGGCAGGAAAAAGAAGAAACTTTTGTCAAGAAAAGTTCGGCTTTATAGTAATTGTTGCTCCCGCTCGTATTGTTCCGGAATCGTTCGGCGATTTCCGTCGATTAAAAATACGAACAGAATATAACGGAATTCGGCGGAATTCGGATACGTTTGGTTAACTCTTGCTGTATCTGTTAATTATTTTTTTATTTATTAAAAAATATGCGGGCGCACCGCGCCCTCATCATTGCATCCCACTAGTAGTGGGTGCAACGGCATTCGGCTAGATTTTATGCCGGGGACGATCCATATAAGGAATGCATCGTTATATACACATATCTTTATTTTATTTTTAAACTTTTAAAATTTTATTTTTAATTCCTAATTCATTCCAAATTTATTTTATATTTCTTTGTTCTTATAACATTTCGTATATCGCATTGCATCAATAAGTAAGTGGTGGTATTAGGAATGCCATTTCTGATCCTATAATTAAAAATTAGATTCATATATCATGTTATAAATAAACTGTTTATACGATACTTGTACAAAAATAAAAAAGAAAGAAGTAATCGATTTGATCTTAGGAAAGAAAGATATGAACTTGGTTATTTCAGAAATTCTC